GATGTTATAATGTTTATTATATTAGTATAATAATACTAGTATAATGCTGGCCCTGCCAGCCTTTGTTATTGGTTGCTTTCCTGGTGATAGTCATTCTTTCTGGAATGAGATGGAATCTCAGTGTTGTGTTAATTTGCATTTCTAGATAAATTTGAGGCTTTTATAGGTAAATGGATGTGACTAGAGACCATACTTATAAGTGAAATAAACCAGACTTGCTTGTATAAACATTGTATTGCCATCCTGTAAGCTGAAAGAGTAAATAAGACCCAAAAGGTGCAATAAATATAGTGAAAGGGAAAGAAACTGCTCAAAAGGAAAGAACAACTGGAATGGGGAAAAGAGAAAAGAAGGAAGGGGAAAAAAGATATGTATATATACACAAGATAGCTAAGATAATTGTACTACTAATTTCTATTAGTTCATTGAAATGAACAGTTAGTGCTTATATTGCTTGATCAATTTTGCATGCCTGTATCTGGTAATCTGAGCAACTACTTTGAAGATAACAATATGCAATATAATAACCGTTGTTAATTTCCTATCATATTGCTTTGAAATTTTCATAATTTTTATTGTTTTTTCCCCCTCTCCTTAAAAAAATGTCTGGAAGTGAATGGCCACCACTTGACCCTGCACTCAAAGTCACTGCTGTGTCTGCCTATGATCTCATTCTCTGGGGGGCATACTAGATTCCACCAGGGGTGAAAATTTGGTTTAAAATGGGCTAAACAGATTTTTCCTTGGAATTTTTAACCCAAGAGTGGTTCTAGAAAGTCTTTGTTAAATTATTGAGTTAACATAAAATATAGACTAATCTGGGAAGGATGTTTCTTTTTCATTTTGTACACAGAGATGGAAAGTTATCTCTAGAAAGGAAAACTTGGAGGAAGAAGATACAGGCAGGAGGTAGGAGAATAGGGAGCAGGGTGGGGAGGAAGAAGGAGAACAAAGCCCACTGATGTCCAGTGTGTGGAAAAAGTTCAGATGTGAGAATTCCACTTTTGGACATTTTATTGACCTGTGATTCATTTATCCAAAGTCTCTTCCAGGAATATATGCTTGGACTCATTAGACTGACAAAAATTAAAAGGCAGATAGAATTCAGTATTTGTGAGGATGCCAGACATGGTGTGTCTCATGTTTCTGGTAGAACTCATGAATTGCTTTTTAATACCTGGACAAATAAACTACCTATCTAAAACCTTTACAAAAAATATTTCCACATTTAAAGTTTTTGTAGTAAGTTTCAGGTTTCCTTTATCAAAAATTAAATAACTATATTTTATGATTTTACAAAGATGTCTTAAGCTGCAGCTACAGACAGTGTATATTATTTCACTAAACCTGAAAAATGTATGTGTAAATTTGAGCTGCTAAAGCAACACTTTATGACAGATTACTAAATTTAGTTTAAAAGTAGGAAAGAGGAAAATCTTAAACTCAGTTATTTACAATGCTTATATCAGTGAGTCTCTGCTCTATAATATTTTTAATTCCAATGAAAAACATAAATTGACTCCATTTTTTTGGATATCCAGAATACTGGAAAGTCAGGGGCTGGGGATTTAGCTCAGCAGCTCAGCGCCTGTCAGGCAAGCGCAAGGTTGTGAGTTTGATCTCCGGTACCAGGAAAAAGAAAAAATACTGGAAAGTAGCAGAAAGATTTTCTAAATGTTTTTAATTGTATTAAATCCCTGTAAACTTTTTGTGCACAATGTATAGGATTCTGAAGAATCTACAGAATTTTCACACTCAGAGTAGAATTCATTTTTATTTCAAAAATGGATCCAATTCAGGAATGGCCAGAACTCAAACCCATTATATTTCGAGTAGGTGAGACATGAACTGTGTCCCTTATATTGATATGTATCATTTGTCTGTGTGGTAACCTCATTTGGAATAACAGCCATAAGACTGCTATTAAATATTGAAAAAGAAAAAAAAGAACTGTTTGGGATTTGGTTTCACAAACTTTAAACAAATCTTTCATCTATTTTTTTTTTCTAGTCTTAAATCCCATATCTAGGTAGCTAAAGGAGATGCCATGCACTGAGATTTCATATTTTCCATGTGCAAACATAGGCATATCTAGGGATTTTAGTCAGTTTCCCTTTACAGCCTCCCCCAAAAGATGAAGATTATCAGCCTGGGGGCAGCTGCACTATAAATCATAAGGAAATTTTCTTTCCTAATTAGTCTAATTTAGTTCCTTTTCCAAAACAGATGGTGTGGGGAATGATGGAGGAAAGGAGGAAAGAGCAAAGTATTGTCTGTAGTTACAGCCCACAGCCCCCAGACTGGCATCCTAAATTGATTTGGCATGGCAGAGACCATAACAAAGTTCTTTCCTGTGTTTATAATCAGGATTTTAACACTTCCAGGTTTCCAGTCTCCCCCAGATGCCTGATGAGTGAATCAACTGACATGAGGTGGGGAAAGAAGATGGGATTATATCCCCAGGCCCTGGGTCTGATCTCAGCATAAAAGGGAAGCAACAAGAAAGGTTAATGAATCTTTTCACTGAGAAATAATAAGTAGTACTTGAAACAAAGATGGAAACAAAGATGGAAATTTTCACTCCATGTGTGCAAATACACCTAAAGCATCAATACTCTGAAAGTGGTAATCAAACAGAGGAATGGTGATATGTATTGAAGCAGGTTGTGGGCAATGGACATTGATGGTGTGGGTGCTGGAGCAGCACAACCAACAGGAAAAATCAGATGAGATAATTCTGACGGACCTGATCACCAGCACCCAGAAGACCCCCATTGTACACTTTTTACTTACCTTGATAAATATGTGAGGCACAGCCAAATGTCTTGTGTTGAGAGATGTAGTTAAGAAGCTCAGGATTATGAGTCAAAACTAACTTAATATGACTTCATTTATGTATTGGTCACTTGCCTGAAGCTGTGAAACAAAAAATATCTGACATGCAAAATTTAAAGCAGGAGGGGTTTATGTGGCTCATGCTCTAGAGTATTCAGTCCATGGTTGGTTAACTCCAGGACAGAAACAGAATGGTGGAAAGGCATGGCAGAAAAATGTTGCTCCACCACTGCAGCCAAGAAGCAGAGAGAAGGGAGGAATCAAGGACAAGAACTCACGCTTCCAGATCACTGCCCCAGTGACCCACCTCTTCTGACCAGGCCCCACTTCTGAACATGAGATGTGCGGAGATATTTTAGATGTAAAGCATAACAATTTGTTATCCCTGAATAGTGAAATTTCAAGAAGTGAAAAATTTATATATATTTTCTTTATTGGTTCCCAATCCTATTTCAGCTTGAAGTTCTAAAATAAATACTATTTTTTTTTTTTTTTCCAGTACCAGGAACCGAACTCACGACCTTGCGCTTGCCAGGCAGGCGCTTTGCCGCTGAGCTAAATCCCCAGCCCCTAAAATAAATACTAAGTGTAATTTCCATACATCTCTTTTCTACCCTTTCTATCCTTGTTTGTTCTAGCAAGGGATTGGTGACGTGACATGCAAAGATGAGAATTACATATCAGGTATATGGCGTGTGCCTTCTTTAGCACACACAGCTGACAGTAGTCCTCTGTCATGACCAGTATACATGCCCTTCTTATCATTCACCCAGAACACTCTTGTTTTTCTTCTCTAAGCACCAAGCCCAACAATAAACTACTCAGGCAAAGTGAACTAGACATTCCCATAAACATTCCTATCTGATGGAATGCATTAGCTATTGTGGCTGGGGTATTTGTACTTTCTGCTAGATAGCTACTGGAAAACAAGAGGGACAAGAAGTCTTCCTATATCTTTCTATTTTTAGTAGGGGACACTCCAACACACATCTGGATAGCAGCCAGGGCAAGATATAAAATAGAATCAGTGAATCAGTACACTTCCTCAGCTCACTCATTGTCAATGTGGGACAGTATGTTTGTATGTACATGGGTCCAAGGGGTAGGTGTAGAGTGTGTACAGAAGCTCTGTACTCAAAGATACAGAGAAAACTTTGTTCTATTCTCTGGTTCAATAAGTTAGCTTCTTGTTGCTATGACCAAGTACCTGAGAAAAACAACTTAAAGGGCGAAAAATTTATTTTGGCTTATAGTTTCAGAGGTTTCAGTCCATAGTCTATTGGTTCCATTGCTGTAGGCCTGAAGTAAGGCAAAAACATCATGGTAGTAGGACATGGTGGAGGAACTGCTTAATTCATGGCAGCCAGGAAGCAGAGTGAAAGAGAGATAAAAATAAAGAACTAGAGAAAAAGGAGCCAGAGATTAGATATCATCCTTAAAGTTTCCACCCCTATGATCCATGGCCTTTAACTAGGCCTCACCGCCTGTTTCCCTCACCTCCCATTAATACCTTTAAACAAGGGACTCAAGAGTGTATTAATCTACTGATGAATTTAAAGTGCTTATGACCCAATTTTTTCCTCAAAGTCCCTCAGCAACTCAGCTTCAGCACAATGAACATTTTGGGGGTCATATAGTGTCTAAATTATAACAGTGGATGTTATATGAGTCAGTCTGGATTATTTACATCAGTTCATACTCAATAAAACATTTTATTTATCAGCACTTGAGCCTAAAAGACTTAACACACAGCCAAAGTGCAGACAAACCAGAACACTACTTTATGTTATATCACATGTGAGTTATTTATTAATAAAACTATCACCTTTTTCAGGAATTCAAATTGTGCACACTGATAATCTCAAATGCATACAATGTTACTTCTAATATAGAAAACAAGAAATATTTTTGCCATACTTCAAATTTTAATTGTTTTTTAAAAATTTCATTTTATATAGTTTTAATTGCTTAATAACAAATGTTTATATAAATTTAAATGTGAGCTAATTTCAATAGACAACAATGTTCCAACCCAAGCAGTAGCTGATGGTCTCAGGCAGGGTCAGCTGACCCTATTTTGTTCTTACTACCCTCATGTCTAGGCCATTAAATATCTACCTAGAAAATCACAACCATCACAAGCATATCATCAATTTTGTGGTTGCTCAGAAGATTTTTCAAAGTTGAAAGTAGTGTTTATGTCACTTAGTATGCACAATTTCTAATGGGGGAAAAGCCTCAACCTCCAGTCAATGTTATTTCCCAAGACCTTCTATGAGGCTCTTAGTTACCAAATTATTCTCTAATTCAGCTACTTTCCCATTGTCTCAAACCTGGGTTCATCAAAAATTTTTTGGAGAAAACTAGACTCCCTTTTACAAAGAAATTTTACTAATAGTACCTTCAAACATGAAAATTTCTCCATGTGATCACAATCTACAGAAATAAATCAGCATTCCATTCTCTCTTTTGCCTATCTCTACTGAGGAAACATTTATTTTAGTATACAAGTTCTGAAGAACTATATGTTTTAGTTTCTAGTGTATTGTACGGTATCCCCTTTTCTTTTTTATATGCTGTAGTACAGTTTCAGAGAGGGTAGAGTGAAGACAAAGTCACCCCAGGGTGCTTCCTGAAAGTCAAGTACTGTGGCCGCCAAACTCCATTGGTTCTGCTAGGTCTGTCTCTTCAAGATTTGGCATGTTCTCTGCTCTTTTTCAAACCAGGTTGCAAACCCAGTTAATGTGACAATTGAGCTCATTTTGGTTGAGGCACTCAAGATGGAAGATCGGCTGGGGAGGAAGAGTAAGGAGACTGTGTGTGTGTGTGTGTGTGTGTGTCTTAGAGACAGACAGAGTGGGGAGGGAGGGAGAGAGAGAGAAAGAGCACACAGCCCTATATTGACAACTTTAATCTCTCAGCATTTTCATGAACACAGCACCTTACTATCTATGCAAAGCCAACCTATACAGAACCTAAAATGACTCCACAGATGGGAAGATATTACAGAGGTGAAAAATCAGTCAACCCCTGACACAGCAGGGTTTCCCCATAACCTTGATCCAGTACTGTGGCCAGTGCATTAGTCCACACTTATGCTGGATCAGTTACATATTTTGGATACCAACTTGCTGGAAAGGTTTCAAACCCCTTCCAGTAGTAGTCCGGTGGGCATTTTCTTCCTGTTCCTCACTCTACGTCTAATCTAGAGATGCTGAAACAATGAAGTTTTGAGGCCAAATCTCTCTTCAAGTCTTTGTCTTCTTGTGTTTCTCCATTCAGCTCCCGAAGAAAGGCCAAGAGATCCAAAGCTTCAGAATCAGCTTCATTTCTAGAAAGTCGGTTTTTTGCAATTTTTTGCAATTTGACTTTCATCTTTGCTCTCTCCTTTGATTCCACGTTAATTTTCACACCCTCCATAAAATGGTGGATGGCCTTGTCTGCACATTTCATCTGATACAGCTGAAAATTGCCATACCGCAGATGGAGCGCTTGTTTAGCTACAGGAGTGAGCTCCTGGCTGAATTCTTTTTGGAAGTAACACTCTGCTTCCTCATAGTAACCTGCTTTCGTGTACTGACCAGCTATAGCATAGAGACTGGCCATGGTGGAATAGATACAGCTGAAATTCCCACTGTTCTCACTGGCTTCCTTTAAATGCCTCACAGCCAGTTCTATTTGTTTCAGTAACTTCTCTCTTTCCTCGTATATTTCCTTCTCTCCTGTCTCCAGTAATTGGAGGACTTGTGACCTATAGCAGCTCCCAATTTGGTAATGCAAGTAGGGGTTGTGTGGCATGATTTCTAAAGCCTTTCTAAGCTGTTTTATGGTTTCATCCCAGGCACATTTATTTCGGTAAAACCTTGCTGCGCTTCGCAGTACATCGGTTGCATGTGGGGCTTCCTTTAAGGCTTCTTCAACCAACCTCTCTCCTTCATCTCCTGTATCCTTGTCCTTCACCCTTTGAAGTTTCAGAGCCAAGAGAGTTTTAATATACTGGTTGTCAGGATTCAGTCTGATGGCTTTCCTCAGAGGATCAGTGGGGTCCTGAGATGGCGGCCAGTGGTCCAAACGGGAGCACGCAATGGCCCAGCCAGAGGTGAATTCGGGATTTTTTGGTTTCTTTTCCAAAGCCTTCTCAAAACACACCTTTGCCCTTTCATTTCGTTTTATTGTAGACTTCAGCCGTGCCCACCCTTCTTCACCATCAAGCTCAGGGCTCTCAATTCTATAGGGACTGGAAAATTCCGCACAGACCTGTTTCACCTTGTCCACGTAAGTCTGAGCATCTTCGAGCTGGCCCAGGTGATAGTAGATCCATGCATAGTTTCCCCAGGTGACCAGACTTCGGATTTTTGCTTGGCCAGCATGTTCTTGCTTGATTATCTCTTCAGCCTGCTTTAAGCATTGCAGGGCTGCCTCGTTTTGGCCTCGGCGGTGCTTTATGTAGGCTGATATGTTAAGCATTGTGGCTTTAAATTCGCTATTCTGAAATTCATCCTTGTGCAATACTCTGTCCTCAAACTCATCCAAGGACCTTTCCCCTATCAAGTCCCAGGTGAAATGACATTTTAATTGCCGTAGGCTGCTCTCCAAGGAATTTTCAGTGGCCTCACTGTAGGGACAAAAGAGAAAGATGGGCACTTTGAGACACAGCACAGATTCATCTGTAGAGAAACAAGATCACAGAAAACAAAACTGTTTTCCTAAATCCAAGAGAAACACATTCTCCCCTTTTGTTTCTTCAACTGCTTTGGTATATGTATTAATTCCTGTGTGGCAAAACAAGAATATTGGGACCACAGGCAGCAGCAGAATTACAGAGCAGGAGGTGGCTCAGTGTGAGCCTGAGGGGCAGTTTTCATAAATAAGATGACTTTTATGGGTAGCTCTGGTTCTGCTAGAGGGTCTCTTCAGGGCTTGCTAAATCTGTGGGAGATTATTTCAGCAGAGGTTTGCTTTCATTTATGTAATTTTTAGAACAGTTGTAAGTCTATTTAATTACTGTTTACTTGTTTTTCCTTCTTAGTATATTTACTTTTATATTTTTAAAATCTTAACTTTACAGTTTTCTAATCTTTTGTTATTTTGCCATGCCGATTTTCATTTCCTTGTTATTGCTCTGAACTTCAGCACTGTTATATCTTCTGTATTCTTTGTTGTCTTTTGTTTGTTTTTCTGTCTGGTTTTGTGTTTTGAAACAGTGCCTCACCGTGCAGTTTGGGCTGCTTTCAGACTCTCTATGCAGTCCAGGGTAGACTTCAACTCATGATCCTCCTGTCTCAGCCTCCTGAGAGCCAGTATTACAGTATGTGCCATCAGACCTGGCATCTTCTATATTTTTAACTCCTTAGCTTTCCTTTATTTATACTTTATTTATTTATTTTTTTACTTTCTATTTCCTCTAATTATTTTGGCTTTTAATACATCCTTGGTAGGTTTTATTGCACAGCAAACTTTTTGAGCTTTTATCAAATTGGTTTTGCCTTATCTCTTTTTTTAACATTATACATTCTCACTTTTGCCATGGAATTTTTCTACTTCAACCACTTAAGTCCTGTTTTCAACCATTCTTAAATTTTACTCATTCCCTTTGCTTTTGTAGTATTCTCTTAACTTTGCTATTATAACATGTATTAGCAATGTCTTGAATTTTTATTTTGAAATGAAATATAATCATTTATTTCTCCCTTCTAATTCTTAGTCTAGTAATTTCAATGTTTAATGTGAGTTGATTTATTAATAATTTTGTATCTCTAGCTAATTTTATTGGTATTTTCTTTTTCTTTGCTAGGACTTCTTTTTCTAATAGGAGAGGAGAAGGATGGCTGGAGGAGAGGCTAGCAGGCAGTTAGCTCCTTTTATTATGGGAGGAGTTCTGCTTCCTTTAGGGTGGTCATATAATTCTCCTCAAAGATTTTCCATTCCCTGAAAGATTCCCTTCACTGTTGATGCTGTAAATAAGTAGATAAGCAACAACAACAAAAGCTAGCAAATACACAAATAAACCAAAAATATGTTCTGTCTGCATTGCAGTCCCTGAAATGTTGCCATTTTCTCACTTAAAATTTTTCATTGTATCTACACATCAACCCATTTAGCAGGAGAAAGATAGTCTAAATTATGTGCATTGTGATGCATGCAACAAATAGAGGTCTGGAAGGTCAAGCAAAGCAGCAAGGATTACTTCTGAAATGTATATCTAGATGGAAGACAGCACTCTCTCTATTTCTACTTGCCCCATCTCTTGTACTTTTCAATGTCACGCCTCCCCCAGGCACACACATTTTGATTGGGCCAAGGTTGGGCCAAGCTGGAAATGAAACTAAGACGGGGGAAGGGAGCCTGAGCAGAGAGGTTCATGTGTTAGGAGCAGTGGCCTGCACACTGGGCATCTGATGGTGACCTTATTCTGTAGGAATTGTCATACCCTATTCTGCATGCTGCTGAGAGTGTGATCAGATGCAGAGGGAGAGCTCACAGGGTCCTGAGTCCACCCTGTTCCATCCTAGTCTTCAAGTCCTTGCAGACCTGCCTTTAGATCATGTGAGATCCACATGATAAACCTTAAGTCAGTTTCTGATCATCTCTATTTCTGAGGACTGAACTACCATCAGAGTACACAAAAAATAAATATAGGGGAAAATGGGCTGGGAGTTTTACTGTCCTAGGCAGGTCTGGGCAAAGAGCAAGTAGTAACTACCTCCAGGGGAAGAAGCCCAGGAGAGAGCTTGACTTGGTATCTGGCATCCTAGTGACAGCATCCTCCCCTTGAGAAGCTCATGTCCAATCTGAGGTGCTTCCCTTCTCCATGAGGTTACAGAAAGATGCTCATAGCACATGAACTCTTTTGCTGCCACTTTCATAAAAGAAACAGAGTGATGGAATGGAGCTTATCTCCAGAGCTGAGTGTAGTTGTACAATGGCTATAATCCCTACTATTTGGGAGGTTGAGGCAAGTTTGAGGCCAGCCTGGGCAATTTAGTGAAGCCATCTCAAAATAAAAAGGGCTATGGATGAGCTTAGTAGAGCATCCTTGGGTGCAGTCCCCAGTAATGAATAAACAAGACAAAATATGGTCAACTGTACATCGATAGGCTACAGACATTTAGTATATACCTTTATGTAGAATTCCTTTGAATACCCATTTGAAAGTCATCTACTTTCACTGCTTGACCTTGGCTGTTTATTTCCACTCATAAGTCAGTAAACCTGGTCTCTGATATTTGCTTCCTGGGCTCCGAGTTGTGAGACTTGTGTTCCTATTGACTCTCACAGTTCCAATACTTTATACTGCAACAATAACTTCACCTATTTCTTGTCTGGAAGAGAGCCACAGTAACACTATTCACCAGGCTCAAACGGGCCGCCACAGTGTCCTGGAGCAGTCTCAGCATCACCGAGGAGGCTAATTGAAATGTGCAACCTCAGATCTCAGCCCAGTCTAATAATCATATTCTAGGGTGGTGGGCGGGAGGGGCTGAGCCTAGGAATCAGTCTCTTGTAAAGTTCTAAAGATGATTCTTATGCACACTTAAGTTTGAGAACTGTTGTCTAAAGCATAGAGGGAATACTCCAAGGAAAGACCCTATAACTTTAGCTTCAAGGGAAAGTGAGAGAGGGACTGATTGAATTTTATTGTTAAAAAAAGATTCTAACATAAGACCATGCTAAAAAGATTCTAAAGTTTCTAAAGTTTTTCAAAATTCTGAATGACTACAAAAACACACATCTACAAACATCTCAAACCTTGTTTTCCTCCATCAGGTAGATACAGACCCTAGTAGAAAGATATGACTTCAAGAAGGAGATCAAGAGCCTTACAGAAGGAAAGCAATCCAAACTAACCACTAGGGCAAGTATGGCCAGATTCCAAACCTCTTAAGACCAAGCCTTAAGCAAACAGGTCCAGTTACTGACTCTCAAACTGGAGAAAACAGAAAGTTCTCTTACTTCCCAATGGGTGAACACTTCCTCTCTAGGGCAATCTTAGTTTCTAGTGGACAAGTAGATTTTAGAAGTAAGCACTATTTTCTCCATGCAGTCCATCTCTAATGCATACTTCCAGTAAAAGTACTCTAGCCAATTAATTTTTTTTTTTTTTTCTGTACTGGGGATTGAGCCTAGGGCCTTCACCCTGAGGTGCATCCTCAGCCTTTATTTATTTTTCTATTTGAGACAGGGTCTCACTAAAAGTTGTTAAATTGCCCAGGCTGAAGCTAAATTTGCTATCTGCTTGCCTAAGCATTGCAGAGTGCTGAGATTACAGGCATACCTGCCACACCCAGCTGCAATGAGTTAAGAGGTGAAAAATGTCCGTTACTAGCCTTAATGCAAATCTGAGATGAACAAACTCCATATTAAAGAAAGTTCACTTTAGCTGAAAGCTATTCTACACACATTTTGATTTTGATTTTTTTGGTACCAAGAATCAAATTCACAACCTCACACTTGCCAGGCAGGCGCTGTGCCGCTGAGCTAAATCCTTGGCCCTCTGCATACATCCTTAATACCTACTGAAAAGACATCTTTTATCAAATAATACTTTTATTGAAAGCTTCCAACTTAATTCTTTGAAGTAGAAAGCAAAAGAGGGACAAGTCACAAGAACAATCCCCTGAGACTCATTTTACATGTACTCCCCACCCTCACCCCCAGATTGAGCCTTTCTCTGCCAGTTCCTGAATCAGACCTCCGCTCTCTGCTTTTCTAAGTGAGCAGTTCTGCAGAGGCACTCAGGAAGCTCGGCAGGAGGAAACAAATGGGCATTGATAAGACTCATTTATAGCTACAGAGTTAGAGGCATAGTAAGGCTCTAAGCAAACACTGACACAGAACTGGCCATGCTGGGGAGCATGGCTGTTACAATTTGCATTAGGTAACAAGATCCATTCTACATTTTCAGCATGACTGGAGAAGGGAGAAGCTTTACCTCATGATTGCTGTGTAGTTCTCAGCTGTGCCGAAAGGCTGCCGTTCAGGCTGCTGTGCTCTTCAGAAATTTTTCTCCTCTGCGTCCAGTAAATGCAGGAGACCCATATATATCAACTTCTGGTTTCTGTTTCTGTTTTCCGTTTCCCTGCAGCTGACTTGAACAAACAAAAACTGGAACAGGAAAGTGAAGTTCCAGGGCTCTTTCAGAAAACTGAAACTTGCATAAGAGCCAAGCCTGTGAGTGAGTCAGAGTGTACCGATGTCCTTTACCTGCAACATTGGTTCTGCGCTTCCCCAACTGAGCAGTTCTAGAGATGCCTTGAGGACCCTGGACCGTGTTACTCGGAGGAGGAAACAATGGGCATTGATAAGATATATTTCCAAAGCATCTGTGCTTGTTATTACCATGTTAATCCAGCCTCAGCCTTATAACACATAAGCCACCATACAGAACAGTTAACATCCACAGGGCCAGGATTTTAGACTGCTTCATGTGCTGTCACAGCTTCTTGCACTAATGTGTATATAGTGCACGGTACGGTAGACATTCAAAGAGTAATTTTTGCATGAGTGAACACGTGGTTCAAAGCCTGGGTGCTGATGCCAGTCTATCTGCATTTGAAATTAGGATCTATTAGTATGAGAATCTGGGGAAATTATTAAATGTCTCTGCTTTGATTGTTTCTATTAGGAACTGGGAGCAAAACTGCCACCAATTCATAGTGATGCTGAAGGATTAAAGGAGCAAGACAGTTTTTACATCTGTAGGACACAATAGATGAAACGTAACAGCAGACATCCCTGGAATACCAACAGTGAGTCCACCAACATGCATTCAAAACCACAAATACGCATTTCTTTCTCTGTTTTGTTGTGCAAGAAAAACAGAAACTCAACTGATTAATTGCAGATATCATCACTTTCTTCTTCATCTTGAGAAGATCCTGCCTGATTAGCTGCACTGGCTGAGGCAGCAGCAAGCTGGGATTGTTGGGCAGCTTGCTGCGTTTGAAGCCATCCCTGTTGGGAATTCTGCTTATTGCTGTCTAGCTTTTGCAAATAACTCCTGTTGCTGCCTCAGTGACTCTTCTTCAGGAGTGCCAAGGTTCTCCAAAGGAGAAGTAGCCTTTGTTCTTTTTAATGCTACACTCTTGCATTCTTATAAGACTTCTTTTACCTCACTGATGTAACAGCAAAAGCCCAAACTTTCTAGTGCCCTAAAAAAGAACAAAACAGTATCTATGTCTCACTGGATCAAGGCATTGAGAAGAATAAATGAATATAAACAAAGAGCTTAAAATAGAGGCTGGTCCCACAGAGGAAACAAAATCAAATATACACTATTTCAGTGTCTGGGCTGTAGGAACTAACAGTTAATACAGGTTTTTAACATGTAAGAATCTAACGTCTAAGAATCACCTAAGCAATCTGTGATATGTTTCTCACCTTTATTTTTTCTCTTCAATTTAAAAGAGTAGTGCTGGGGATATAGCTCAGTGGCACAAGTGCCTGCCTGGCAAGTACAAGGTCCTGAGTTTGATTCCTGGTACCTAAATAAATAAATAAATAAATAAATAGCCTAATAAGTGTGTAAAACCTAAACAGCTGTACTTCATGACATTAAGTTTAAAGTTGAAGTATATTTATAAAATAAAACTGCATGAAACTGGCAAATCAACACAATAGAAAATCCTTTAAAGTAGCATGAATTACTAGACATTAAGAAAATACAAAGTCCAAGAATTTATTCTTTTATTTGCCTTGCAGGATTAAACATGACAATAGTTCCAACTATTGAAACAAAATTTTGAAAATCACTGGCTGATGCCCAACAAATGAGACAGAGACAGAGAGACAGAGACACAGGGACGGAGACAGAGACAGAGACAGCAGGTTTTCAGCTTCTTGGACTGGGCTGCTTCTCATTTCCCTACCTCTCCAGACTGTAGATGGCTGTTGGGAAACTGTTCAGTCTGATTATGTAAACAAATCTAATAAATCTGCTCTTCTGTCCATTTTACTGGTTCTATTTCTGTGGAGAACCTTGACTAATGAAATACTTTTAACCACAAAGGGATTGTAATGCACATAGATTCAAGGGGAAAATTGGAAATAGCACCAGATGTCTTTGAATCAGGAAATTACACAGCCCAGGTGAAACATTCTCCAGCAAAATCAAGATTGTTGAGATAGGCTTCTCAATCTTGCAGAAAGGTATTTATCATGCATCTTTCTGCCTAGGCAGGAAAGAAACAGAAGCTGAACAACTTTAATTCCTCTACCCTTTGTTTAGGATACAGTTGTGTCCACACCCTTTGGAAACTAATTCTCACTCAAGAATCACTTTTTTATTTTGAACTACTCTTAGTTGTGCATACAAGTCCTAGTATATCAGTATAAAAAATGTACTTTTTAAATGCTGGAATAGGAAACTAGGAATACTGTGGGTTTTCTTTTGGTTTTTGGAATTTCCACTCAAGAAAACTACTAGATAGAAATGCTTTAAAGCATGACTAAAGGTACTGGATAGGGAGACAGGTAGAGACAGGTTTTATCAATGATCAATGTGTTTTAAAGTGCCTAGAAATAATTCATTTACTCTTTAGAAAGGTGAATAGCCAATGCTTGCACACAGTGCTATCACTACAGGAATGAGAAAATGTGCTGTGACTTCTGAACAGAAACGAGACAGGATAACCAACTTCTCTATTTTGAGAGAAACTTTGGGAAAGCTCAAAGTACTCTGCTTACTACCTGTATTTATGTGCCTTTTTCCTAGAATATAGGCCAAGGGCTGCTCCTGTGTCAGCTTGATTTAAAGGAAGAGATTTCTTACTCTTCCCAGAATGAGGGAAGCCATCTTGCACAGTTCCATCAGCTATAGGGTGGTATAATGCCATTCTTCTCCCAAGGGTAGCATTGTCTGGGAACTTGCTAGAAAGGCAAATTCTCAGGCCCTGACCTATACCAACTGAAGCAGCAATCTATGTTAATAAGCCTTACAGAGAACTCTAATGCATGCTACAGGCTGAGAAACTTGTGATATACTGAATGAAAGTGAAAACATTTTTACTTGAGAAACTATACTTTTCCTTGGGATGTTTTGAAAACTGATCCCTTATTTCTTTCTCTTTTTTTGTGGGGTGTGGGTGAGGGGACAGGGTCTTGCTATGTAGTTCAGGCTGGCCTGGACTCACTATGTAGTCCAGCCTGGTCTTGAACTTGTGGTGATCTTCCTGCCTCAACCTCATGAGTTCTAGGATTTGTTTTATATGTTGACCCTTTTTCTCATTTGTATTTTATTTTGACTCTCTTTTTAATTTTGAATATTTGTTTAAAATTTTGCCCATCTAGCAGAACTGGAATCTAGTAGTATTCATACCTGTTGGAGGAACGATTAGAAATCCTAATGGTTCTCTGGGACACAGCAATGAACTATAATTTGTGAATAATGTGTTTCTATCTAATAGAACATACTCTTCCATAATCATTCACAAACAGACATATGTTTAATCTTCTAAATAAACTTTGGGAAGTTATTATACTTAAAAAATAAAACAGATTCTCATTCCTATTTTTTAAAGATTGATATAGTTTGGTTAAGTGTCCACCAAAAGACCATGTGCTAAAGTTTTGGGTGTCAATCTGTGGCACTATTGAAAGATGGTGGAAACTTTTGAGGTTAGCCTAGTGGCCAGAACTTAGGTCACTGTAGGCATATCCTTTAAAGGGATTTTGGGATTGAGGTCCTTTCCTATATCTCCTTGCTTGCCAGCCACAATGAGGTGAGCAGCTTGCAAAAGCAGTGGAGCCAAGTGACCATGGACTAAATCTTCAAAACTATCAGCCACAATAAATCTTTCCGCATTTTAAGTTGATTATCACAAGTATTTTGTCAGAGTAGTGGAAAGCTGACTAAAATAAATTCAACCTGAATTCTTTCCAGTGGGATTTGAATGTTCCCTCTGAAGTCCACGTGTTGGAAACTTGACCCTCAATGTTGCATTGTTGGAGTTGGATCCTAGTGGGAGGTGTTTGGCTCATGGGTGACAATGAGGCAAAATGAATGCATTAATGCTGTTGCTGTAGGATAGAATCCTTGTAAAAAGACAAGTTCAGCTCCATTACACTCTCTCTTTTGTCTTCTCTTTACCCTTCTGACATAGGTTGACTCAGCAAGGAGGCCGTGGCCAGATTCCTCCCCTCAATCTTGGACTTCTCACCTCCAGAGCCATGAGCCAATAAACCTCTATTCATTGTACACTTTTCAGTCTGTGGTGTTCTATTCCAGCAATACACATGCACTAAGACACTTTGCAATATTAATTTCTGTGACTATAGCGAGCCCGTCTTTGCCTGGGGCCTTGATAGAGATAAGACTTTACTTCTCTATGGTCTTAACCAGAAAATAAAGTCAAACTAGTATGAAAATAGTTTGAACTCATGTCCCTGTTAGAATTCTAGGAATACTTATTTCATTTATATATAAAAAGTGCTTATGGAATACAATATGTTAGGTGTTATTCTAGGCACTTGAGATATAGAAGTACACAAAGATCTCCGTCTTCATGGAGCATACATTCCATCACGAAGAAAAGACAATAAACATAACTATGGGCTGAGTTGTAACCCTGCTATCCGCTCCCCACTCCCGAATTCCAGTGTTGAAGTCTGAATCTCCAAAGTGACTGTATGTATTTAGAAACAAAGCCCTAAAGGGAAGTAGTTAAGATAAAACAAAGTTATAATGGCAAGAACTGAAGTTGATAGTACTGATGTCCTTATATAAAGAGGAAGAGACACCAAAGATTTCTCTCTCTTTCTCCCTCCCCTCCACATACAGAGGAGGAAATGTCACATGAGGACAGTGAGGAAGCAGCCATCTACAAGCCAGGAAGAGAACCCTCGCAGAAACCAATCTTGCTGGTGCTTGGACTTCCAGTTTCCAGAGCTGTAGGAAAATAGTTCAGCCAGTCTAAATTCAGGGGAGTTATTTCTTTCCAGCCCACTTAGATTCATTCCTAGATTTACTCAAGTGTTAGTCCTTCCTGCCCTTGTGTCCAAACACATGCATTTCAGTCAGTGAGCTTAATGCAAATAGACATCCATCAGGAGTCCCTTCATAAGGACAGCGTGTGCTCAGAGGATTAGTTTATTCAAGTTAAAGCATACTGAGTTTAAACCAAAACAAACAAACAAACAAAATTTTGGGGGCTGGGGATTTAGCTCAGCAGCACAGCGCCTGCCTAGCAAGCACAAGGTAGTGAGTTTGATTCCCGGTACCGGAAAAAAAACCAACCAAACTAACAAACAAACAAACACACTGAGTATGTATGCCTGAAGTTGGGCTTGTGAGGGAAGTGCTATTTGTGTCAAGGCCTCAGTTGGTTTGTGGTGCTGAGCTGGCTCTTCGGACAGATTTAAGAATTAAAACAACTCAGACACGTGCCTCTCTCTACCTAGATGGGCACCACTGGAGGTCACCGCCCTCCACCCTTTTCCCCTGGCCAGTGGCCAACCTCCTTAGCTCCATAAAAACAGCAGACAAGTTCCTGAAAGAGATGGAGAAAAATCTGGGGGCAGTGAAAACGTGACAAAAAGAGGCTCCTCTCAAATTGTACTTACAAAACTCAAAGGGAAAACTCAAAAGGAGAAAATAAATTATTTGAACAAATATGACAGGTATCATTTTTAACAGCTAAAATGCTCTAATGGTTAAGAAGATTCTAATGCCAACAGGGTGCTTGAAATTTACCAGCATAAATATGAAAACCACTAAAATCAAGTCAATAAAAATTCAATTAAAAATGTTTCAATATCACTTAAAACTCTTCAATGACAATTTTTTAAATGAAATCAGCAAGAACGTGGCAGGTTGGACACTCATACGGGAATATATTTTGATATAGAACTACAGCATCATCACAAGACACATGAGATTTTGACATCAAAATTTTAATTTTGGAAATATACAGGACATTATACATTGAAAGGTTGAGATGGCATTTTGATGTGTCAACTTGGTAAGGCTACCACCCACAGTTATTCATTCAAATATTAGTCTCAGTGTTGCTGTGAAGGTATATTGTGGTCACAGTTAAATCTGTAAGTCATTATCTTTAAATAAAAGAGAATGTGCTGGGAAATCTGGATGGAGTCACTCAGTGGAAAAACTTTAAGGGAAAAAAACCTTCAGCCTGCAGAGAGCAGCTGTCTGTGGCCCAGAATTGGCCTGCTTCCTTGATGGCTCATCCTGTGGACTCCCTGCTTGCCTCGTCATCCCTCAGAGTCGCATCAGCCAATTTCTTGCAATGAATCTCTTCCTGTAAATCTCTCATTGCTTCTACTTCTCCAGTTCAACACCTACTGACACACAAGTTTATGAATTAGGGATGCTCACTGCAGAGTTAGCTATAACTGCTGAAAACTTCAAACAAACTAGATAATATCCTAATAGAAATACATTTACTGGTATTGGAGGATTGCCCACTGAGCATAATTGAGTTCACTCTAGTTCCCCCTTCAAATCACACTAAGATTATATAGCCACAAGAAAAAGAAAAAGAAAATGCAAAATGCAACAAAATCGTGAAAACTCTGGAAGAGTTAGAGAAGTAGTAATTTCTTACCAAACCCAAGAAAGACAAATGTGCCATCCCTGGAGGAAATAAACAAAGCAACCTAATTTATACTGCAGAATTCTCCCAAGGCTCAGGAATTACATATAGCGGTACAGAAGTGTGTATGTGTGAGCGTGTGTCTGCATATGTGTGTTTGTCTCTGTGTTCGGGAAAAGACCTTAAACATCAAGAACTACTTATATAATTATTCAAGGGAATAGCAATAAAGAAGTAGTCACTAAAGGAGTTATACTAGTAAAAAATCACCTCTACAAAGCAGGTATAAAGTGAGATGGAGGTGCAGGAATGTTATTTCTTCAACCTTATAGGTCATGTTGATTTTTAAAATGGTGTCCATATATATATTTTATTAAGCTAAAAAGGAATAAATCTGGAATGGAGAGAGGGAAAGAAGGGGAAGAAAAGATATGAAGGGAGAAAAAAAGGAGGAAGGAAGAGAGAAGGAAGGAGAAAGAATAAGGAAGGAAAGAATAGGGGAAAGAAGAAAGGAAAAGAAAAGAACAAAGATTTGTGATGCATACATATTTTGCAATATTATTGTGAAGCTGAAATATTCATGTTATTGGAAGAATGTTAATAACACCAGGAAAATACAATATGACACAAGGTGAAAAGAAGATAAAACTGATATCATGTAGAAAAGTAAGATATCATGTAGTAAAATAAGTAAATATCCTTTGCTCTGCAAAACAGGTCTGAACAAACTGTTTCAGGACATACATCCTGTGGCCGGAATGTGACCTTGTCACAAGGAGCTGTTTGTCCCAGACTGGTCTTGTCACAAGTGCTGTCTACCTATCATTTTGTCTTCTTGAATGTCACAAACTTCCAGCCCCCAGGCACGGGTCAGCAACCCCACAAAAGCTTGCTCCTCAAGCTCTTCGTGCGGTGCCCTCTCTTGACAGCTTCCCTGTCTTTCACAGCGCGTATTTCAATAAACTTCCTCCTGCAATCATTAAATTCCTTTATCACCTGTGTCACTGGCTCCCTGCATACGGCCTTACATGGCATAGAATATACACCTTTAGCTGTAAAAAATGTTTTCCCAAAAATTTACTTTATGAAATCTATCTGTATGTAAATAATTATCTGACTCTAGTATTGCCCCAAAATTTCTTTAGTGTGCTTACTTTATACCCCAAAAAAAGTCTCTTATGATTCTAGATAGTTTTGTTCTGTTGTTTAAGGATCACCAGGGAATGAAACAAGATAGAAAGGGAGTGCAAAGGTATTGGAATTGATAAAGCCCAGCATCTCTGGAGGCTTTGAGGACCCCAGAGACCGAGATTCCACAGTTACTGAGAAAAGAATTCGCTAAATCCAGTCCATCCTTTATTAGGGCTATGAATACTGAGCTCTGATAAAGAAGTATATCATCTTTAAAAATCGTAGTGAAATAATCCTATCTTCCTGACTTCCTTTAAGTGAAAAACATAAAAACAAGAGCTTGCAAGAACATTTCTGTCTATTTTGCATGCTTAGCTGATGAAATGTGCCTGCAACAATGAAATGAAATAGATTTGTCCCTGGCTCTGCACCAAAACCTCCTATGATATTCCTCCAGCTTGAGGTTCTGGCCACTTGCCGGTAGGAATGTTTAAGTTTCTCTAGGGAGAGCCTCTGTGAGTTCGGAAGTGCTACAGAGCTTAAAATACCCTAGTAAGCCAGAAACAATTATTTTCTAGATTAAAGTGTGTTAAACAATCACAAACCAAAATCCAGTACTTCCAAAATGTGCTTTGAGATGTTGAAAGGCACTAGACACAAATTCAGGAATCAATGCAAGAAAAAAAAACAAACTACTTTTTTTTCATAGTTTCAGAGAGGGGGCTAGCTGACGTCTTTCAGTGTCCTGGTAAAGGCTGAAGTGCTGTTCAGACATCTACCTGAGCCAACAGGAAATCCCCGAGGAAAGGAAGCATGACACTATTGTTGAAGGCATCTTTATGTGTATTTGCAAATATTAAATGGAAGCTTATCCTGGCAAAAACAACTGCCTTTCAACTCTGTGTACTGGTTTCTTGACATAGGGAAAAGAGACCAGTAGGGAGAACTTTGATCTTTCTGGTTAGGAACCCAGCAGGGATGGAATGTTCTGCAGGAAGCACGTGCAAGGAAGGTGGAGGAAATTTTAGTGGGAGGAGGATCAGAAATGTAGTGCTAGCAATGTGTTTGACATCTATATGTGATATAGCCATTTATCAGACGAATAAGAGAAGGGCCAGAGCACGTGCCAAAGAGGGCTTTGGCTAGAAATGAACCTGACTAAAGTTTGATTAAGAAGAGAATCTTGGTCAAGAGTTATAATGAAAGCTAACTATGTATTTACCTTTTATCCTTTTATTATAAAGAGCCACACTGGTTTTTTTTTTTTTTTCAGTACTGAGTGTTTGAACCCAGGACCTCCAACATGCTAGGCAAGTGCTCTGCCACTGAGTTACATCTCCAACCCTTCTTCTTTTTGTTTTGAGACAGAGGCTTGCTAGGTTGCCCAGGCTAGTTTTCAATTTAAGATCCTCAGACCTTGGCCTCCGAAGTAGTTGGGATCATGTGCCACCATCCCTGGCTCTGCTCTGGTTTTGAAACAAAGTTTTTTGTGATTTATTAGTTTCTAGATGGT